CTGTAGGGCTGGAGCTGGCTTGCTTCTGGCCTTCTCTGAGCAGGACTGTGGAAGGCTGGGTCCTGGATGTGCCTTGTGCCCAGTTTGATAAACTGCATGGAGGTTTCTTCACATGCTGTCCTCATCCTGAGATGCCAGGGGAGCTTCTGTCCTTTGTGACACTGGAACATTTCAGTGCCTTTTTGTAGCTGTTTCATGGGGTGAAGTGTTTTGATTGTTTGCTGTTTTACTTACTTTACTTCATTCATTTATTTTTAAGGTACCTCTGTGCTTTTTGCTCAGTTTTTTATTATCTGGATGTGTTTTCTTGGCAGAGGCAGGTTTTCCAGTGCCTCTTTTGCAGCAGTGAGAAGAACCCATTGGCCCCTAAAGCTTTCCTGCTTAATGCGCTTTTTTGACCTTTTCAGTCACTTTCTGTTTCACAAGTGTAAGTCCTGGGGATGTTACTATCCCTTGTTGCTGAACTAAATGACAGTTGAGGGTTTCTGATGATAAATGCATATTTTTCCCTATGCAGGTTTATCTTTGTACTGTGTGCTTGGCAGTCCTGAAGGGGAGGTTCTGTGTGAAGAGAAGTCTGAGATTTTGGCCTTAGCAACCCTTACAAGTGCAGGAGAGGAAGAATTAAGGAGAATGGCTGTGGTGTGCAGAGTCTGAAGAATCCATGTCAGTGTATCCGGTCCCCTTTTCATGCAGTGTAAGGAAGACGGTGATGGGAGGATTCAGTCTTCCCCGTGGTACCAGCAGAAGAGCAAGAACAGCACCTGAGAGCTAGGTAAGGCCCTGTGAGCTGCAAAGCTTCCTGGCCTGTGTTCAGTCTTCTAAAATACAGTTTAAGGAACAGCCAACAAAATGTGTTTTCCAGGGGCTGAAAAGGTTTCCAGGTAGCGATTCCTGATCATCTGTCAGCTTCAAACTCCTTTGATCCCCATATAACATAATTCAGAAATATTTTTAAGCTTAGCCTTATTTTAATTAAAAAGAAGTGTCGTGGCAGGGTTTTTGACGTTGCACGTTTGCTGAGCCACATCTGCAGGCTGGATAAGTGGCAGGAAATTCTGCTCTGTGGTGCTTATTTGCTGCCGCCTTTTGTGCCAGATTTCAGTAGATGCAGGATTGTTTTCTTTCAAGCTGAATGGGCATGCGTTTTTTGCTGAATATCTTCCTCCTGTGAACACTTTCATTTGTTGTGTGAAAATAATATGATGCTGTGTTACTGAAAATAGAGTTAGATTGTAGGCACGGGCTGTATTGTCGTCTGCTTTTTTTTCCTGTTGTAATTTCAGTAAGTGCTGAAGTGTTTGTTAATCCTGGGGAGACATATTTGCTTTCCAATATAAATGTCATTTAGGAAAGTTTATTTCAAGTTATTTACGGGAGACTGCACACACGAGGTGGGGATATGTGGTGTTTTCTTTGGAGCATACCTTTTCCAAAGACATTTGTAAGGGTTGCTAATGCATTTCCTGCCTAGGAAGCCGAGGAAGTCAAAGAGAGAAGGAGATTACAGACATAGCTGTTAGTGCAGTGCTGTGGAGTTCCTGTAACCTCCATCTCCTGCACAGTTATGAGCTCTGCAGGAAGGGGATGTGCACCTTGTGTTGCAAACTCTCAGGCTTCCTGTTTCTGTGAGCACACTGGTTTCTGGTGGGGCCTCTTAACTTTCACTGCTGGGCTCCTTATTTTCCATGGCCCTAGAAACTTGCTGGTCTCCACCAGTTCCAAATAGTTACTGATGCCTTCACGGTACAGCAGCGTAGCAGCACCAGCTCTGTGCCAGTCCCTTGCAGTTCTGCTGCAGGTAATATTTCCTGTGAATAAAGTGTTGCTGTTACAGAATTCCAGGGAGCCCTGAATATAAATGTATCAATTATGTGTCAACACAACAGCATCTGTCGTTGAAATTGGGTATCATTTATTTGGCATCAGCCTAGTGAAGATTTGGCTGACAGCCAGAGTGAAATATTCCAGCAGAAAAAGCTGCAGCAGGAGCCATCTCTGAAGTAATGCTCTGAAATTCAGGTGTTCTAACATCATCTAATACATTCTTAAGACATGAGGGACCTTAAGCAAAAAGGTTCCATGTTCTTGTCTGCATTTCTTTCTTTTTCATGTTGTTATTTTTTTGTTCTTGCTCTCTGCAGAGACGCACACAGGCTGTGGGATGTATATATCCTGTGAGTTGAGATCCTTCTCCTGACTGCATTTCATATTCCAACACTTGTTTACATAAAAATTCCAAGTGGATGCAATCAGTGATGGCTGCTTCGGGAGAAGTTTAACTGTGAAAGAAACAAAATAGGAGAGTTAGAAATGACATCCCTTTTCTCCAAAAGATTTGCAAGTGTTTGTGTTTTTCTTAGACATTACCTAAGTAAGCTGCACCTTCCCAGGGATGTGAATCAGAATGGTGAGTTTAGAAAGTTAGGCACAGCCCTGGATGCCCTGTTTGTTGTGGATGCACTTGGCTGTGGCTCAGTAAACATTTTGGAGTACCTGGTGCAAATTAGAAACAAATCACTTTGCTTTTATGGATGCTTCCTATCGTACTTGAACAAGGTAGAGAAGCAACCCTTCTGTTTAATGGAAAAGCTTGTAATGGGCAGCTCTTGGGTTCTGAGGTATCTTCTTAAAAATGAAAGTAGGAAGCTCAGTGTTGTAAAGCAGAAGATAAGTCAGAAAGATTGGGAGGTTGTGTGACAAATCTGAATGCCTGCGTGGTTTCTTTTAGCTGGCTGGGGCTCCTTGCGCCAAATCAAAATGATTCAGCTGAGTGCTAGAGAAACTTTTCTAAGGAAGTGTTAAGAACAATGCAGAGATAAAAGTAGTTGGGAGAAAATAAGCACTGGGCTTTCAGTGCTGCAAGAAAGGCTTCTGGAATAAAGATGAGTGTTTTTAAAAGGGTTTTTTTTTGTTGGTTTTTTTTCCATGAGTTTTGAAGGTCTGTGAAGTTCAATTTCTCTTGGAGGGGAGAGAGCAGTGAAGGGAGGGAGGTCTGTCATATTCTCTGCATTTCAATTGAGTTGGTTGCTGGTTGAGTAGGAAAAGCATTTGGATTTACTCTTAACTTTAACTTTAGACTGTCAAAAGAAATAGCAATCTAGAGTTAAGTAATGAAACCTCTTTAGGAAAATCGATGCTGCCTTACCCAAACTCAATTTATTCAAGAGGTCAGCTCTGTTGCTGCCCTGGAAAAGCTTGAATTTAATGATTAACCTCTTTGTGGCTGTTCGTGTAACTTCAGGCTTTCCATCTGGTACGTTATGTAAGCATGAGGCAAGATGGTAATGGAGCTCTCTATGGAATGCTGTGCACTATTTGGGGAGAAGATCCCTACATACAGTATGTATCAGCCCCAGTGAAACAGAAGCCCATTAAGAAATCCTATTAGCTGTCTGCTCTCCAGGTGAGTTAAAACCTCTGCCCAGTGTCTAACTGGTGGCTTATCTGGTAACAGTGCTGTCGCCCCTTCTGGAGAGGTGTCGTTTTGTGCAGCTGTGCCAGGCTAGGTTCATCTCAGCCACGTATAACATTGAGAGACAAAGTGATACCCTGTAATAAAAGTCAAAATCCTCTTCAGTGTTGAACCTGACACTGTCTTGTTCTGTTCTGTCGGCCTCCCATTCAGCTGATCTCCTTGTGAGGTCTCAGTGTCACACAAGCAGTAATGCATGACAAGAGGGAGGGAGTGTGTGTTGTGTGAAAGCAGCTCTGAACGGCACGGGGTTTGGTCCAGGAGTGCTGTCAGATGGTAGACTGTGTTTGCTGTAGCAGTATTCATCTCTGTAATTTTCTGTGGCTTAAAGCAAACCCGTAGTTCTTGTGTTTACTTCCCAAAATTCTATTTCAAAAGTAGCTTTAGTTAGTGTAATAGCATGTAAAGTCTAAATTGTTTTTCTCTTAAAACAGAGAGTATCAGGAGGAGTAATTCTAACACCAGCTGCACGTCTCTCATGAAACACAAATCTGCAGTCTGCTCTGTGTATGTAGATGCTCATGTCCATGGAGTGGCCTGAAACCTGCCAAGTACTGCAGTAGCATCTGAGGCAGACTGCCACGCTGGATGTGAGCTTCTTTTGCTTCCTTCCTCTTCAGTTTTTCCCACATCTAAGTAGTTCTATATCTTTTCAAAGTGATTTCTGTTGGTAGTTGTTGCTTCCCATCGGCTTTTGACTGTCTTATGTCTTTCATTTGATTTGAAGGAGAGGAATTTGGACTGCAGCTACCTTCCCTGTTTTTAAGTGCTGTACAGTTTTTGCTCTTGAGCTCCACCAAGTTACTGCAGTCTTTGCCTACGCAAAATTATTTTGTATTTCATTCTAAGGTGGCTATTCTGAGACGTATAAATACTGTGTTATTTCTGTTCAGATGTTTATGAACAATTTTAACCTGTTGGCTGCCCTCTCCAGTTGTTTGAATCATTAGCATGCCCTCAAGGGAGGTGAGACTGCACGTATATGGGTACAGTAGGAAAGGGCAGTGCTATTCCTTTTCCTTTCTCAGAAGTGGGCATTGCTGTTGTAGCTCTGGCTTCAAGGCATGGTTAATTGCTGCAGAAAATCTCAATTCTCTGTCACACAGAGGGATAAGCAATGGCTGAGGGATCCACGTCAGAGGAGGAATACATCTAGATATCTACTTCCCTTTGTAGGAAGGAAGTTCTGAACTGTGCAGGAGGTGATGTGTGTTGTCCATGTTGTTTGCCTTCAAAGGCACAAAATGAGCTTTTGAGTCTTTTAATGTGGGGTTTTGGGCAGCCCATGTTCAAGAGCACGGGTTTCTGCCCTGGCTTTATTTGGTGTGTCCAGGAGCTGGCTGCCTGATTCTCTCTCTGTGTATGTGGTTTGTTTATCTGTGTCCGTTGCTTTTCTTAGTCTCTCTTCTTTCTCCAGTCCAGATTAGTTTGAGGAGAACCACATTTTCTTTTCCGTTATACTTGCACTGGAAATTCAAGGGCAAAAAGTCCCTTCTTCACTCTCAGGAGCTGAGAAGTGCTAGTGCTAAATGTCCTCATATCTAACATTGGGGTCTGAATCTACTTCTGGCACTGCAGCTCTGGCACTGAGGAGCAGCCTGTTGGGAGCAGTTTGCAGAAACAGTTTGGAATGTGTCAATATTATCAGGTCGGTACTGGAACCTTATGTGAATGAGTCTCTATCCACTTACCTCATGGGGAAGTTGGAGCTTTCATGTTTCCAGAGAGAAATTGTCTCACTCTGCAAAGAAACGCTGGCTTTTCCCTGGTGACTCGGTGTGAAAAAGCTCACAAAGGCTTTCAGCAGCCCCACGTCCCAAACAGGCATCGGCAGCAAAACTGAGGTCATCTGTAATTCAGTATTTCGTTCTGTGAAATTGCCTGCTCCAAGAGAAATAACACATTTACATGTACATTAACCAGTGTTTGCCAGCTCTTGGAATAAAGCCAGTTCTCTCAGGGCCAAACAAACACTCTGAGTGAATGAGTAATAATCTGCTATTGTCACTCTTAATTTATGGATGGGTAGATAGAGCAGTGTTAGCCATTTTAAGTTGTCCTATTTGTTTGGAAGGCTAAAAATCATGATTAGCTATCAGCTTGGAATTGTGGAGTATCTCTGTTGTGTCTGCTTACGGCTGATTTGCTGAATGCAGTTGTTGCACAAGTTCAGAACCTCCTCTTATGGTATGAATAATTGTGGCAGAGGATGAGAATGCATGAAGGTTACAGAAGCTTTAATTTTTCAACAAGTGCACTTAAAGGTAGTTTTTAAAACTTCATGCAAGTGTAAATGTGTAAGATTTACAGTCTCACGAAGCTGACAGCAACCTTTGTAAAACTGGGCTGGTCACAGACATCGTCAGAGCATTCTTCCAAGGAGCAAGATGCGTGATTTTTAATAGGAGCACTTAAAATTGTTCAGCTCTAAGGCCTGGCCCATATTAAAGGCTGCAGAGAGGCAAATAGCACAGCATCCCTGTGGAGCAGAGTTTGAAGCATTGCAAGTCGCTCGTAAGATGAAATTCTGCTCAGAACGCCCTGCGAAGTCTTCTGAGAGATCTGTTGGCGGGCTGCAGAGAAGCGTGCAATATCGCACCTAAACACAGAGGCAGGAGATGGGTGAGAATTACAGACCTCACGCGCCAGCTGCTGAGAGTGCAACGATGTGGTGCAGAGATGAGAATGGTACCTGGTGTCTGACTTCTCTAACAAATTGGCTCTCCCATCCACTTCTTTTAGCCTTTCTTTCACTTCCATACAACTTTTTCGTCCACGTGTGTTCTTTTTCTTTCCTTTCTCTACTTGCACTATGGGGGCTTTCTTGCTCTTTCTGTCCAGACCTCAGTATCCTACTCACCTCCATGTGCTACATTGTTGTTTCCCCCCCCCCAGTGGTGTTAAACTTCCTCTCTATGCTCTTGCTAAGTGAAATAACAGCAAGAGGGATCAGCATTGATGCTGTAGATGAGAGGATGCCCACAGCCCAGTGCGCTGGGCTGCTGCCACTAACACTGTAAGCAGTGGAGGATGGGTCAGTGGTTTCTCATCTCTGAAAGGAGGTTTCTGAACAATGAAAGGGGGTTTCTGTGCTGCAGAGCCTTAGCTGCCACTCGGTCTCCGCAGGCACCTTGGTAAGATAAAAAGCTAAAATATCCCCCACTGGAGAGAAGGTCAAAGCATATGTGATCCAAACCTGTCATGTCCTGGACTTTGGGCACCCACACCCAGCACGTGAGCAGTTCCCAAACCATCCGTGTGTCCTGGTGCTGTGATTTACACTGTTACAGGCTCAGGGTACAACCCAAAGTGTTTTCAATCGTTGTGTGCCTGCTGTTGTGTTGAAGAAAGGATGTACTGGGCTGAGTGCTCCAGAAGATGCTCTACCAAATGTGGATGTGAGCAATGAAAAGAAATGAATTGTGTTCTCAAGTCAGTTGGATCTCGACAAAAATGTTTAAAAACCAAACCACCACCATCACCAGAAAAACAGCCCACAAACCCAGCAGCTTGGAGGAATGTTTCTTGAAATTGCTCTGAAAGATGGAGCTATTGAGATTAATGTGAATTAATTTTTACAAAGTAAGAAAGATACCTACTTAGATCTCAGCAGCAGCAGCAGCAGCAGGTGCTTGCAGCATTATAAATAGAAAGCAATACAAACTGAGGTGCTTATTAAATTTGCCTTTATGATACTTTGAAGAATTGCAGAGGAACAAAAAAGAAAAATTACCAGTGGCGCTGGCTTGGGAGGGTGACTTAAAATAGCTGTGCTGCCAAAGAAACCAGAATGTAAGCTAGAATAACTGATAGACTTGTTCAGAAAGGTTATCTCACAGTGATTCGTCCCTCACACGGAGAGATTGACTGAGAGCTGTGCAGGGATGTGATTTGGAGGGCTTAATTTTTTGGACAGTTTTAATAAAGTGTGGCATTTTAATATATTTTCCAACAGATTGCACTCTAATCCTTTCTGGGATTGCCTGGGTTTGAAAGGTTTTTTCTTGTTTCCTTTTGGCCCTTCTCCCTGTTGACAAAAACTGATTCTGTAGGAGATGTTCATGGTTGGGAAACGGATTGGTTCAGAATTCTTGCTGTCTTTTTGGATAAGGCTTTAGTGAGGATCCTGTGTGTCCTTCAGCATTTTGTACAACTTTGGAAACACTGCAGCATCTCCATGGAGAGGTGGCTGAGCAGAGTGGTTCACAAATGGTCTTGTAGACCAGATTGGAGCAGCAGGCTCAACGAGCAGAGACACCATTAAAAATGAATCAAAATGAATGATTTTTTTTTTCTGTTCTTAATGGGATACTCAAATTGATTGAATTTGGCAGGGAGCGTACTAGGAAATTGCAGTGTGGGGAAATCAGGTGTTGCTGCTGGGATCAGTGAACTGGCCTGTGTGAGATGCTGGTTCCTACCTGCTGCTGTGCTGCAGCAGTGGCAGGATTGGTGGAGATGAGTTCTGCTGGGTCACGGCGTCGCTTCTGCACCCTTCTCATCTCCTTCTCTTTTGGGAAAGGCACGGCTGGTGTACAGACAGAAGGACCTGCATTAGAAATGGAGCAGTGCACATACACATACAGGACAGGTGAAGTCATTGCTGCGTGAAGGGAGAAAAGTGAAGTTGTGCTGATGATGAAAAGACTCCTGGCTTCCACCCAAGATGTCCTTGGGACTGCACATATGGTCTTACCTGCTCTGAAGTGGTTTGTGTGCCATGATATAAGATGCATGGATATATTTTAGCTGTGGTTAGCAATTCTGCTGCATCCCTGTGCTCATACATCGTTACATAGGGTGTGTAAAGTTGTGGTGTTGCTGAGTGTTCTGGAAGGTCGCTTGCACTTACTGCTGGCTGGATGACAGCGTTGAACCCATGGCTGTTTGGTGAATGCTGTAGAGGAACTTGTAAGATATCCTTTGGCCGCCTCTGCTTGTTTCCATTACACACTCTGCTCCACACTGTTTGCTTTTGCTTCTGAGTTTTTAGCTGATGGAAACTCCTGCAAGTAGGATTGCAAATAGGATTACGTGCATAGGTGGTGCCAGAACCAGTGCTGCAGAGGCAGAAGGCAGCTGGTGCTTAGGGAATGGCTTTGCTGGGAAACTCCCTTTGGTTACACTGTGCAAAACTTCTTTCTTGTATTTTTTATTTACTTATTTTTTTTAGGCCTTAATTAAACTTTCTGCATTTGAATTAGTTTACATTAATGTCATACTGTCCTATTATGTGTAAATTGACAGACACTAACAGGGATTTGATCAGCCTAATTCAGCTGTATGTAATTATGTGCCTTCTCCTTAAATAATTGCAAACAGAGTCTATCAATCATGGCAGGGGAGCCTGCTGCTTTATAGTAATGTGGGATTGTTTAGTGAAATGTAATAAGGCTTCAGGTTTCAGATGGGAAGTAAACAGAATGAGATTTTAATGAGATTAGTGATAGGAAGAGTAAACTCCACATCCATCCCCTGCTGCAAGCCACACTTCTTATCTTCCCTTCCCCTCAAAAAAGGTGTCCTGATTGCATTGTAGTCACACTGGTGTTTGAGAACATTTCTGTAATTTGAAAGGAATTTGGGCAAAGCGTCAATTTCTGGCTGCCAGGGAAAGTCCCGGCCCTCCCAGTGGTGCTGTTCTAATGTAAGGTGGTTTCTGTTTCACTCACTGATGACTTGATTACCCAGATCAAACACAAGGACGTGCAGAAGGCCACAGAAGTGGAAATGAAATTGGCCGTGCCGTTTCTGCACAAGGTTGCAAACAAGCCCTGCTTGGAGAACCAGTGGCTGAGGGTGTCACTTTCCTGGGAAGCCCTTTGAAAGCGGTTCCCCCAACACAGGCACCCGCTTCAGCAGTTGTGTTTGGGTGAACTTCTGTGTAGTTTAGTTGTCTCTGCTGTCGCACAGTCCTCCTCTGGCACGTGGACAAGCAGGGAAAGACAGGCGCAGTGCCAGCAGGCTTTCCTCAGCCTGCTACTGAAAACACATCTGTGCCAAGAAAAGCTTGAAAAACCAGAACTTCAAACGAGCTGTGAAGGGAGTGAGTTTGAGATCACAACCCCTTGTTCAACAGGCTCTGGTGTTATGTCCACTTTGCTTTAAACCTGCAAATACCTCCAAAAGACTTTATAATGCCCTGAGCTCCACCGTCAGTGCAGTGCTGCCCGTTCTGTCCCGCAGGACTGCCTTGGGAGGGTCTCAGAAGCCCAGCACACATCTATCTTACTCTCTGCTATTGCATATAGTTCTGTAAGTTGAACTAGAAGGGGGACATCTCCCTTTGAAGGGATTGCTGTGTGAGTAGCTGGAGTCCAACATGCTTGGGTTGTCTCCTGGTCAGGAAGTGCAGATGCTGTTTCAAGATATTGTCCTGGTATCCTGGGAGATGTTGTCCAGTTTTCCTCACCTGTCAATCAGAATCCATTGCTCCCCTCCACACACACAGCCCCACTGCCACACCGTGCTCCCCTGCCGGTGGGTTTTTATGTTTTTGGGCTTAACAATCCGTTCTTGCTGGGGCCATGGATTTTTTCGCCTGCCGACTTTTAGCTTGGACTGAATTTTCAGTGCCGAAGTTTTAATGACAGAATTAAAATGAAAAGCAGTGACAGTTGCTCAACTCCCATGTTTGCATTACCAAACTGTAACATCAGCCTTCAGACTCGTGGGCGCTCTGCCCGCTGTGTCTTAGGGCTCTGTTTCAAACATGTTTGTAGTGATGCTGTCTCACAGTACTTGAATTGGAGGAGTAACAAGCTGAACACATGCCGGCACGTAAGAAATGAGAATTTCCCATCTAGGTCATCAGCAGCCCAGGGGAGGAGGGCTGTGGTGGCAGTTTGTGGCACTGAGTTATCAGTGACAGCCCAGGTCTC